ATGCCAGGATTACAAAGGACTTAAGTGTTGGCTTTGGGGCCCTTCTTGTCAAAGGTGGGCACAACATTGTCAAAGCACCAGTTTGAATTTTCTGTGTTTCATTTTGGTTAATTTCTGTTGCTATATCTTCAAGTTAATAATCTTTTCTCTGCAGTGTCTAATGTTTTTTCCATCCAGTGTATTTTCATCTCTCACATTATGGTTTTCATCTCTAAAAGTTTGATATAGGTCTTTTTTTAACATATTCAATGACTCTACTTAATGTTTTGAACATTATAGTTATAATTACTGTTTTAATGTCCTTATCTGCTAATTCTAACATCTGTGTCAATTTTATGTCAGTTTTGATTTATTAAATATTTTCCTTATTTTGGGTCTTGTTTTCCTGATTCTTTCCATTAATGGCAGTTTTTTATTAGATGTCCAATATTATGGATTCTGCATATTTTTGTATTCCTATAAATACTTTTAAGTTCTGCTCTGGGATGCAGTTAAATTATTTGAAAACAGTTTGATCCTTTCAGGTTTTGATTTTAAGATTTATTAGGCAGTGTGAGATCTGTGCTCAGTGTAGGGCTAATTATTCTCTGTTGTATAGGAAGGACTCTTCTATATACTTTACCCAGTCCTCAATCTGATTGGTGGGAAGAGGCACTATTTCTGGCTCTGTGTGAATTCTGAACACTGCTACCTCTAATCCTTTTGGTGCTTCTTTTTTTGGCTTTTGGTAGTTTCCTCATACACACAGTGTGCTGGTAAGTTTTCATCTGACTACTAGAGGGAGATCCTCTGTGGATCTCTGGAGTTCTTTCTTTGTGCTGCTCTCTCCTTTCCATTACTCTGTTCTCTAACATCTTGGTCTACCTGGACTCTCAGCTCTGCCTCCTTAACTCAGGTAATCTGCTAGGTTTTCACCTGCATTTCCTTTTACACTGCAGCCTGGAAACTCTAAGGAAGTTGAAGCAAATTCATAGTTCTTCATTGTCTGGGTCCAGTGTCTTGAAAACCTATTTCATTATTTTTTTTTCCATTTTTTTAGTTCAAGCAAGAAGGTAAATTCAGTTCTTGTTATTCTGTCTTGTCCAGAAGTGGAAAGCTCTTTTCTCCTCATACTTTTCCTCCTTCCCCAGCACTAGGCTTATGATTGAGCATGGGGTATTTGTTCTCTGTGGTCCTGGTTCAACCTTAGTTTTAGGCTGGGCTCTATGCCAGGACCTCACAACTTTCCTGTCCCTACTCCACACAATTACAGATTTCTTTTCTCTTTGTATTAGGCATATGTATTGCTGATATCTTACAGTCTTTGGTTTGCCTTTTCATTTGCTTAATCTGTCTTTTGAGGACAGATTTAATATAGTTCAGATTATCTATTTTTTGGTTATGGTTAGTGCTTTTTGTGTTTGCTTAAGAAATGTTTGCCTGCTTTAAGGACACAAAGATATTTTGATATGTTTTTGGGTTTTTTTCTTACTCTGCGTATTTAGATCTGCATT